GCGGTCGCCCTTCCAGCCGCCTATTCCATTGTATCAAAGGGTATACAGTCCATAGTCGAGCCATGCAAGAGTCTGGTTCTGTTTACTTTGTTTTTGCTGTTTTGATTGATTCCTCATATGATTTTTGTAGCTTGGATCTTGGGGAGGTGTCGGATCGGCCTTAATTCGACAAGGTGGCGTTGCTGTTTCATGTAGTGTCCACGCCTCACTAGCTCTCACCCATGATGGGCCGCTTATGACATCTGAAATCGAGGCATGCTCATCTATCACACAGGTACACAATTATTTTGGATTTTGTGCTTGAAATGTGTTGATGTCAGGTTTCAGATGGAAATCAACGATGTGACGGATCTTTTGAATCGCTTATTCGAGAATGAAGCGCTTTTTCCGCGTAAAACTCTGATTATAAAAGGAACAGAAGAAACTATTCCAATGACATGGGAGCTCACATTTCGAATACAGGTTAGTTTCATGGTTAAGCCACTTGCGCAGGTAATGCAGACGTCGCGTTCGCTGTGACAGCGCCTGCTCACGCGTGCACTTTACGCACTTCATGCACCCTCGCGTTCATTTTCTTATCTTGAACCTTTCTGATGTTTTTCTCATAAAGTAAATGACATTTTGATGATGAATATTAGCCATACATCGAATGAATAAGCGCTAGTTGTGATTTTCATCGCGCCTTGTTGATACAAATTGCAGTCGTGTGGAATTTCCGCTGTATATAGTGTGCTTACGGTGCAGAAAAAATGCTGCATAACTTGCACGTGAATAAACAGCTATGCCTGTGATGCCGGCCACTTGCGCGCGCAAGATGACAGCATTACTGGCGTGGCTATTCGTTCACGCGCAAATTTTACCGCATTTTCTCGGCCCCGCAACTACACTGAATGAACCTCGACTGGAGGTGAGGCGTCGATGCCTATGAGTCGTATGCCTGATCATTACCGTAGTTAGCATAAGTCTTATCAAATACGGCTGGGTCATATGCTCGGTTTGCCCGATACAGTCTCGCAATCTGTCGAAGTTATAGACATTTTC